TAATTGACCAAGTCATCTGGGTCAAGAGACGGTTTCTTAAGCAGAGGTTTAATTACAGCAACCTTAAAAGCTTTAGGTACATATCCCTGTAACAGAGATAGATTAATCACATCTAAAATGGAGGAGGAGATCAAAGGGAATACCTCCTTAAATAACCTGGTTGGAACTGGATCTAACATACAAGTTGAAGGCTTAGATGAAGACAATAATTTTGCTAATTCAGAGAGTTCAACTGGATCAAAGCAGTCTAAACCCGGTTCAGATTCCATGACTACCTCAGGTACAATCGCGGATAGAGGAGTGCTTATGATCTTATTTTTAATAAGATCAATCTTATTTATAAAGAATCCCATAAAATCATTGCTGCTAAGAGCAGGTGGAATGGACGGTTCAACAGAGCTATGGCTCTGGGTGAGTTTGGCAACTGTATTAAAAAGAAATCTAGGATTATTCTTATTCTCCTCTATTAATGAGGAGAAGTATGCTGCTCTTGCTTCACAAAGGGTCCTCTTATACAACAGTAAACCATTTTTCCAGACTAGGAAGGACTCTCGCAGGCCTGTGGAGCGATATTTTCTCTCCAGTTTCCTAGCATTTTGCTTCAAAGTACGCAGCTCTGCATTAAACCAAGGAGCAAGCTTTCTATTTTTAACGGTTTTCATTTTCAAAGGAGCTGCGTTGTCTAAGGCAATACGCAGAGAACTAGCAACCCCATCAACAAAATCATCAACCTGTGAAGGGGAATAAGCTAAGCTTTTGCACTCTGCAGCACTGCTCAGTGACACAGAGGAGAGAGAAAGTGAAGCAGATTCTTTAAAATGTATAACTGCACTATCTGATAAAGATCTACTAAAATTGAACCTTCTTTTGGGGGAGGAGAACTCTGTTAAAGTAATCCTGAAGGTTATTAGAAAGTGGTCAGAGAGGACAGGGTTGTGAGGACATACTGTTATTTCTTCACATTCTATGCCGTATGTCAGCACAAGATCCAAAGTATGAAGATGAGAATGCGTGGGACTATTCACATTTTGAACAAAGCCAACAGTGTCTAAGATAGCATTAAAGGCTGCTCTTAAGCTATCGCCTTCAATGTCAGCATGGATGTTAAAATCTCCCACTATGATGACCCTGTCAGTATTTAATACCAAATCAGAAAGGAACTCTGAAAACTCATCTAAAAATTCAGAGTAAGGACCTGGTGGACGATACAAAGTTACAAAAAGAAGAGGTTTTCTTGCCTTGAAATTTGGATCAGGGAAATTAAGGGTTAAATGTTCAAAAGAGTTGTAGGTATTAATTGTTTTGGGAGTAATCAGTAAGTCAGACTGGAAGATTGTTGCTACTCCTCCTCCTCGCCCAGAACTTCTGGGGATGTGAAAATTTAAATAGCTTGAAGGAGTTGCCTCATTTATGCTCACATAATCCTCTTGCTGCAGCCAGGTTTCTGTAAGGCAAAACAAGTCAATGTGATTATCACAAATCAAGTCATTAACTAGTAGACTTTTAGAGGAAAGCGATCTTATGTTAAACAGACCGCATTTAATTGTTTTAACTTTTTCCCCAATTGGAGTTATTTTGATTTTAATTAGATTATCATGATTTACTCCTTTGGGAATCTTTGCTAATTTATTAGATTTTGGTCGTGGGCAAGACACTGTCTGGATGGAGTAAAGAGTGGGTAACAGTAGAGAAGCTGCAGAGATGTGTGTTAAACTACAACTCTGCTTCCTGGTCTGCACCCTGGGGGGTCAGGGTTTTGGAGGACTCCGGATGTGAGGGGAGGGGAGCGGCGACACCGCCACACCAACCCATCTCTTTCCTGCTTCAAGCCCGGCACCCCGCACACGGACCGGACCACCCCCAGCAAGAGCCCCCCCCGGGACCCGGGCCCACCCATCCTGCGCCGGCCACCCAACCAGAACCGCCGGGGTTCTGGGAGTACCAAGAGGGGGTGTCCGGCACACTCCACCCCCCCTCCAGGAGATAGACGGTGCCAGGACACCCCCCCCCTTCGACAACCCTCAACCCTCAATGTCTAGATGCGAGAGGGGATGGAGGAGGCCGACCGTGGTGAGGCCCATAAAATAAGCCCCCCCCCCGGTGGCCCTGACCCCCACCCCCCGAAAATGCCCTACATAGATGTGTGTTGTGAAAATGATGTAGATGGAAGTGTCTAAAATGCAAAATAAAATTGGTGTGGGGGACGTCATCAGAAGGTGTGGCCCTCCAGTAACGACCCCCTCCCCAAAAACCTACATGTGTGGCAGAGTGATGGAGCAGGCAGAGGGAGGATTTCGGGGATGGGGAGCAAAGGACTGGGGTGCTTGCTGCACTCCCAGGGAGCCAGCTCCCCCGCTGACTCCAATAGGCACCCCCGTTCCCCGAGAGCCCCCCCAGAGAAGGGGGCCCCACCAGTTTCACCACCATGGCCCGGGGGCACGGGACCGGCAGCAGGACCCACCAGCCAGCCGGGCACGGAGCCGACACCACCACCCTCCCCCCGTCCTGTCCATCCAAAAAAAAAAAATAATAAAAAAAAATAAATAAAAAATAAATAAATAAATAAATAAATTAAATTAATAAAAAAATAAAAAATATAAAAGGAAGAAAAGAAAAAAATAATAATAATAAATAAATAAATGAATAAGGGGGGGGACAACCCCAGCCGGCCAGCCAACACGCAACACGCAGAGCCCCCACCCCGGACGAAGCCCCACCAGGGGGCAGCACGGACCAGGACCAAGACAGGGAGCCAGACCCGAAGCCCTTCCAAGATCTTCTTCCCTCTATCACCACCCCCCACCCCCCCTCCGGAGATGTAATCCCTCCCCTACAATAACAATCAAGCTACTCACCACACAAGCGACAGAAGACATCCAGGCCGAGATCATACCTACTACTCCCCCTCCCTCCCCTTCCCCCACTTACAGAGTGCAAACCCGTGAGGGGGTAAGCACTTGCCATAGGTGTTAATGTCCATGCCCCCCCCCAGCCCAGCAGGCCCCGAGGCACCCCGGCACACCAGAGGCCGTGGCAGCAGGGGCAGACAGCCGGGCGTACACCGGCCCAGAACCCAAGCAGCACTCCCCACAGAACCCGAACCCCCGAACCCCCACCGGGGCCCCCGCCCAAGGGCAATGCGCCCCAGGGATCCCAGACCCCAGGACCCACCCCAGACCCACCCCGCAGTAGGGCCGGGCAATGCCCAAAAACCCCCGGCGCCGGCGCCCCCACCCCGACCCCGGCCCCCGAACGACTCCCCCCCGACACCGGTCCCACAGCACCAATCCGAAGAAGAAGAAAGCCACACAACACAGCAAAGCGCAAATCCCGAGCCCCACTCCAAGCCACGACCCCCCCGCCCCCACCCCCCTCCCACACAAAAAAAAAAAAAAAATAATTATAATATTCTCCCCCTCACTGGAGAAGAACGGCCGCAAACAAGCCAGTGCCCAACACCCACCGCCACACCACGAGGACCCCTCCACCCAGATGCTTCTCCCCAGAAAAGTCAACATGCCTGCCCTCCCAGGAGACAGGCAAGCCCGCCGAACAGGAATCCCCCCGGCAGCGCACCGCCGGCATGCGGGGGCCCGAGCAGCCCCAACAGAAACAACACCGGAAGGCCGACATGGACGAACCGACGGCACCAACCAAGCCCCCAGGCGGACTCCCCCACCCAAAAACACAACAGTATTTTTTAAGTTTCCAGGTTCCTGGTGTGTATCTGCATGCGTCACATAATGAACTCACGCCTACATTACCGTGTTAACATGCTTTTCAATCCTTCCTGCACATTCTTTTCAAACTAAACTTTGCTTTAAACTGTTGTGTGCTTGGAAAAATATAAATTGTAATGTTAAAAATAAAAAAAAACTTGACAGGTTAAAAAATTAAGATAAATCACACGACAGAAGTCAATGTCACAAATGAATAACTTTTATTCTAGAGTCACGGTATGTTTATACAAGATAATACTATTAATATAATGTGAATTTTCTAGAGAATCGTTATACATAGTTATTTTATACAGGGTTTCCACAGTCTGACATCATTTCAGAATTCCCTGACTTTTAACTGACTCAGGATTAGTTTTCCCTGACAAAATAAATGCAGCAACAAGACAATAATAATAAGATAACAGGTCACCAATCTAACATGTTTAGCTCTATAACATTTAAATGCACCTCTCCAATGTCTAAGAGAAAAAAATTGTATGAAATTTTTTTAATGTATGACCTGCATCACTGTACAGAAGACTGCCATATGATAGCGCTTTCTAGCCAGTTTGTCATTTTCAAGTTCACGACGCTACGGAAACCGCGGCAGACCAAACCGGATGAAAGTGCGCATTCACCTCGGCAAAGAACTCATGCTCTTCCTCAACACTGAAGTCCTCAGACATTTTTCTTTCGTTGTTTCTTTCTTTGCACAGGTAAACAGCACATTTCTTCTTCTACGCTTGCATTATCGGCAGAGCAGACGCTGAATGCGCACTTTCATCTGGTTTGGTCTGCCGCGGTTTCCATAGCGCCGTGAACGTGCGGGCGCGCGCTTTCAGGAAATCCTATACACTACTGTTTATGCTCTAAAAACATTCTAAATGACTTTGTTTCGAGTAAATTTTGGACGCTACCCACTCAGGACACTTGGAATACATTGGACGAGCAGTATGGAGGAATATTGACACGTTTTTTGTGGACTTTTATGGACCTTTCTGCCTCGGGCGCCATAGACCTCCATTATTTGAATGTCAGCAGACAGCAAGAAGCCTCCCAGATCTCCAGATGCATTTGAGATATCAAAAAAGTACTCCAGAGTGTTGTTCAGCATGGGGGTGAGTAGAAAATGAAGGCTAATCATGTTTTGGGTGTACTATTCCTTTAAGTGTGACTATATTGAATGTAAATACTAACTTCATCACTTGATCTACAAAAAATTTAACAAACTTTAAAACATCTACTTTTTCAGACAGAGATATACCTGTAGGATTTATTTACCTCTGACAATGAACTCTCCAAAGTTGGAGACGGCTGCACCTCTCGGGGACAGAGCGATGCAGCGGTATAGGTCTTGCTCTCCACGCTGCGCCTCGATTTGAAAAGTGGACACCAGCCGATTGTGGCTCAACCGTGACAGCAAGGAGGGGTGAAGCACTGCGCCGTTTCTTCGCTGATGAGACAAAAGCAAATAGAGAAATTAACTTTTTTACTTATGGTCCATCAATGTGATACACTGGGCACAAAGACAATATAGGGCTGTTCTATGCCATGTGACAAGGCAAGATATTAAACAAAAAGATATTATCTTTAATACAGCTTTTTCTTACTGCCTCTGGGTTATAGTTTCCCATCACCCATACTGGAGACGATATCTCTGTTCATATAATGCCAATATGAATGTGCTCCAACAGACTGGCAATTGGGTCGAACCGTAGGGGAGGAATTGGGAAGCCTGTGCTTTATATGTATTGTTCCAGGTACTAGATACAGCATATGCACCTCTTTGAAATAATGAGCAGAAGCACTGATCTAAACTGTTTGTCAGCTTTATTTTTAAAGAAGTAAATTTGAAAATTACAAAAAAGATAGTCAGATGTTGAGGGTTTAATGTTTTAAGATCTTAAAGATAAAATTGTGTTTCAGATTTTTTATTTTTAGATCTGTGCCTCTTGCTTTTTCACAAATGGATATCCCACTTTTATATTTATATTTTAAAGCTTTTAAAATCATGTCACACCCAATTTGATAAGAGTTGGATGTCACTTAATGTATCTGTTAGTGAAGTCAGATAAAACCAAGGTTATGTTTACACGATTACAAGATTCAGTAAGAACTCAAGAACTGGTGCTCATTGAACAGGTTATAGAAATTAAATGTATGATCCGTCCAGACTAGTGAAAAGAGCATTTCAATAGTAGTACATGATTGCTTCGGAGACAATAGCCATACAATGGCCAAAACAAATACAATAAAAAGTTGACATCAAGAGCATTGGGAGATTTCCCTGTTAACTTTTTGTAGGAATGGCCAACTGAGGGTGTAACTAAAGGCTTGGTTCAGGTCACACTTTCTAAATTGTTTCCAGACTGAGCATTAGGATGTCCCCCCCTCTTTCCTTACATTTTGTGGTCTATCCTTGACAGACACTGAGTTTCTCCTTTTGTAATAGATCACTTGGCACAAATGCAGGAAAGCACTCGAAGAGAAAATTCCTTCTTAAAGGTATAGTGGAGGATGTTCTTTTTCCGGGTGGATCATCAAATTAGTGGTCCGCCTAATTTCCACTCATTCTGGTGATATGTTTACGTAAGGCCGGCCTACGTGCTCATCCCCGGGTAGCTTTTTTTTTCTGCGCATGCACTTACTGGGGGCGAGTCCGGTATAATGGAAAAAGTGCAAATCTTCTTTTACTAAGTAAGCTTGCAAACAGCAACTTTCAACAGACTGTGCATAAGTAGAAATGGGCTCGTGCATGCCGCCGCACACGTTTAATCTGCATTCCTTCACTAAAGCAGGTACAGGGTTGTGCATGTGCATTTTCAAAAATTAGCGGAAATCATCTAAACTATTAACTAAAGTGAGAAAGCGCTTGCTTAGCTAAACTGGCACAACTAGCTTAAAGGGAAGATTAGTTATATTTTGAGGACCTTCTGGGAACCAAAACTCACTTAATAAATCAAATGTGTTAAGTTTTTAAAAAGAGTATTGTAAACTTCAACTTACTGTTGCACAGCATCTGAAAAAAGATTTGTTTAGTGCTAAAATATACAGGGATTCACATTTTCTGTAAATTTAACTTACAAAATAAAAACTGTATTTTCTGAACTATACGCAAGCTTGTTTTTTCCCCACGCTTGGAACAATGCGGCTTATGCAGTTTGGCTTTTCTGTTGATCTGTTTTAAATTGACAGGGGGCGGAACATAAAAGTTGGAAATCCGAGGACATCATTTAGTTCAAGCTCTTTTTATTTGAGTGTTTTGTTGTCGGTGTTGTACATTTATAGAAAAAGCAAAATTGCTCATTTTTCCAGGTCATATCTAGCACTTCTTAATAATCCAACCTTGTTCTTACCTCAAGCACAAACCGCTCTGTCTCTGAGACTTTGCCTGTGGCAACACACTGAAAAGAGGAGTTCTGCCCAGCATTTACCTCAACGTCTCCAAGCCGAGAGAAATTAGGCACCTTGTCTGTTGGGGAGACAGAGACATTAGGACATTGATTCAGGCAGCAAACTTGGAACTTCAGAGCCAACAGTAAACAAAAGGATGCCCTCAGAACAAGAATCAGCCTCCAGTCAGACGAACTCTCACAGATCAACATTTATACACCAGGAAATCCAAAGTGACTCACAGGGCATTAAACATACAAGGATACTATTAGTAAATATACAAACATAACATGTGTTGGGTTTTGCATGAATAAAGTGAATTCGACCAGATGTTTTTAGTTTGACAGCAGCTTAATGTTATATGTTAAAAAGCACCTTTTCATGGTAAATTGAGCCATTTTTGCCCACTTTATTCATATAGCATCCCAAGCATTAATATAGCAGCCATTTTCTTTTCAGGCAATCATATTTACCTTGAAAACAGCAAAACAAAGTGAATTTGAACAGATACGTATGTTGTGATCCAAACTTGCAATCAGCCACTTCAAATGACAAAAAGAGCCTTTTTAGGGTAAATGGAGCCGATTTTGGCCACTTCAGCCTTACATACAACGCCAAGCATTAATGTAAAAGGCTTTTTTCTTTTATAGCAATCATATTTATCTTGAAAATAGCAATATAAAGTGATTTTGACCAGAAAGACTTGTGTCCAACCTTGCAATCGGCAGCTTGATGCACAAAACCAAAAAAAACCTTTTCAGGGCAAAAGGGTGGTTTTGGCCACTTTGCCTACATCATGCCATCCATAATGTTGTAGCCGTTTTCGTTGCTAGCAATAATATTTAGTTCAAAATATGCAATATAATGTGAATTTAACCAGAAATTCTCTGATCCAAGCTTGCATTCAGAAGCTTGATATTACATGGAAAAAAGAGGCTTTTCAGGGAAAAATGTAGCCTAGTAAACTAGCCCCACCCGCCAGCGGCCAAAATCATTTTTGCCTGCGGTGCTCTAGCCTCGATCAATGATCAAGGCCCTAGAAACGGCCAATCACAAAACAGAGATGTGTTTTGAATTTCTGGATGCCAAGCGGGCGGGGTTTTGAGGGTGTGACGACAAAGCCATGTGACACTGGAGAAAGCACAACAAGGAAGATGGCGACAACTATTGAACATTCTCGTTTGATTCAGCTTCGGAATCAGTTTTGGTAGGATTAGACTTGGGGTTTTTGTTGAAATGTGAGCAGGAAGAGGCTCTATGCTCATTTATTTTTAAAAAGGACTTATTCGCCGTTTTACCGACAGGCTGTTTTTTTTCACTACCCCACCAGCTTTCTGTCGCGCTTACTACGTCAGTCAGTAGCGTTCATTGGTCAGAGCGTTGGCCAATAGGCACAGACATGCTTTGAAAAACAACACATTCTTATCAACAATCTTCTGATGTCTCATTCATCTGGGCCAGACTAAATTACACATTTAATCTCAGACTTAGTCTGGTTTATTAAGCCAGGAAAAATGGGCTTTTCAGGGGAAACTGATCTAATCTAAACCACTTCACCCATATAATGCCAGGGGTTAATTATAAACCCTTTTATATTTTATGGGAATCATATCTAGTTTAAACATAGCTTATATAAAGATAATTTGACAAAAAACAACTTTTCCAGGGCAAACAGAGTTGATTCGGGCCACTTACAACCATTTTTTCTGGCAAAGCACTTAGTGGAAATGGTGTGCTCAGCTCTCTCCATCTCTTCTATCACCTACTCGTAATATATTTTTTTTGTGATGTGTTTTAGGTTCAGACTTCGGAGGCTGAGCTTCTCATGAAAGATGTATATTTCTTTTTCTTGACACCTTGAGAAAATGTAAAAGTTTTTTTTTTGTTGGGGTATGCAGCACCCTTAAAGCACCAGGTTTAGATGATATCAGTCTCAGAGTCCTTAGGTCAGTGCAAGCACCCCTGTGGAATTCTAAGGCACTTCTTCATCTTAGCTCGAACGACAAGATAGTTCCAATGTTGTGGAAGATCTCCTGCTTGTTCCAGGGCAAAATAAAACTCTACTGAATATTGGCCTGTTGCCTTAACATCCTACAGTACATCACGCAGCTCGCAGAGACCTGAGCAAGCACAAAGGCAACTAAACAGGATCCCCTTTAATTTGCTTATGGCTGTTGAGTTGGAGTTGAAGAGGCCATCATAGACATGGACATAAAGAGCAATGTTGCATCCTGTTCCTTTATGTTTCATTGTGTTCAGCACAATTCAGCCTTATTTACTTAAATTTCAGAAGACTCAGTTGGTATTAACGATTGCCTAAATAAAGACAAAGAGCCTTTTGAGAGACTTAATGTCTAATCAGATAGTCAGTACTCCAATAGCAGCACAGGGCACTTTCATTCCCTTGAATGCAATCTACAGAAATACTCTGATGACTGCGGTTGTTCGGTGAGATGGCTAAGAATCTAAGTATGGGGAGCTGGTAAGGCACTCCTTGCCATGGTGTGAGTTTGAAAAAAGCAAAAGGGAAGATTTCAGAAAAAAATGTAACAAATGCAGTCAAATGCTAATATCATCATGGGAAAAGAGGTAGAGGTGGTGTTAAAGTGTAAACTATTCCTTCATCATCTCCTTGGGTAACATCTATAGAGCAAATGACTTACAGTAGGCAAAAAAATATCTTATACTTCTAAAAAGCTACTGAGTTTTCTTGTGAGTTCAGCTGGAGTTTTCAGTGAGCTTAGTAAGATCATCATCACTTCAAAATAATGGACTTAAATACTTACAACAAGGATAATTGAGCAGCAAAGTGTGATCCAAAGCAATATAACCCTGTTCCTCATCCGAAACAATAGCTTCAAAGATGACCTGTGGGAACAATGGATAAATTGAATGAATACATAATACATATTGGATCTTATTTGCTGTACAGTTAATGACAGATATAGGAGAAGAGTAGTCTAAAGAGGAGATTAACCGATACAGGGTTTTCTAAGGCCAATACCAATTATTTTGACATATGTCTAACCCCGATATATACTGCTGATATTTTTGGGCTAATTCCTAAAGTTGATATTAAACAAAAAATATATATATATATTGACAGATAAACCAAAACATTATTATTTGAAACCTAATGGCGGATGTATTTTCTTCATCTAATCTTAAGGCATGGCCTCTGAATGCACTAATGAATCAGCCAACACTGCTTGTATCAAGTAGGATATTGTCCGGCCAATGTATCGGTCAATCTCTAGTCCAAGGTCCTGTAGAGAAAAAAAGAATTCTACAATAAAATTACATTCTTGTCATTTATTCTGTGGCATTTCCTAAATTACCAATATATCTTCAAGCAGAGGCAGAAGATATCCTCATATGCAACAAAGAAGCATGCATGTGCACATTCCTCCGGTAGTCAATTCTAGGTAGGAATTATAGTAGGACGATCTGGCTTAAAAGTGTTATCTCAAATTTTCCAACCAAATATGATTAATCAATTTGTTTTACTCACTTAAGTTTCATAATACAATACAAAATGTACATTTTGGTGGAGTAAAAGTTGTAAGTATCCATGATTCTACAGAAGTACAGTAAAGATAGATAAAAATTGTACTTGAGTACAGTAACAAAGGGCTTTGTTACAGCCCACCACAGACAGCTGGGTGGTAGCGTGAAGTCAAATATTTGTGGTTGTTGCTGTAAAATTCTTGTAAGATTGTGTTGTTCTAATAATTTGACTCATTGATGCAACAATTATAGCATGTGTTTTGACCGGCAATTGAACCAAAGTTTCCGTCTTGTGAGGGATGGAGCCAGTAGACCAGCTACAACAGTGGCTATGTACCTTTGTGTTTATTATGTAATGCTGTGCTTGCTTGCTCACAGAAACAGTGGGTCATCGTCATGTTGGTCAAGGCTCTCTACGGCAGGTTCAGCAATTGAGGGAGCTGACTGAAAAGTTGCTAAATATAGCGACAAAGTCGCTAAATTGGAAACACTGGTGCTGCGCTTCTGTCTGTGTCACTGACACGCTCATTAAGCATCATCAAGGTGATGGAGCTTTAAAGGGAATGCCTACCTCTGCCACTTTATACAGCATATATTCATCTAATGAATGGGTAAAACACTGGCCGTTTCTCTTGTCCCGCGCTCTTTATCGAGTATGCAGACTCGCGCGTTCTTGAGATTGACAGCTGTCCCAGCATGCACTGTGGCAGCAGCAGCTTTCAATGTAGCGCTCTATTGAAAGTTAAAAGTTCTCTTCTCTGTTGCTGTTGTTCAATAAGGGTATGTTTTAAGATCATTTGAGGTGAGAATATTATACTTTAAAGCATCACTATATGGTCCATTTACCAATTTAATGCGTAGTAAAAGATTTCCGAAGTTGAGAGAACCACAGCAACCAGCGGAGCTCCAAAGTTAACGGCAGCCAAGGCTAACCGCAGCACTACTATAGCAGCCTTCTCTTGGCATAGCTGTGTGTGAAGGACCGCTGGCTCTGATGGTGATTTTTTTATTTTTTTTTTATTTGGCAAAATATTCATTTGATTTGTGTTTTTCTGACTGTGCTATTTATTATTCCCCCACTAAATGAAAAAATAACTTATTATTATCAAAAGACTATTAATAACAGGAGGTGAAATGCAGCTCCAGACGAGCCGAGCATGTGGTGATGTCACAGGTACGCTTCTGTTCCAATTGACCCGTATTTATGCTGCATGTTCCCGTTCTCACCAAGTCCATACTTTCCTCTGTTCTTCTCAAGAACATACTTGGCGAGAACACGAGTCCCTACTCGCGTTCTAGTGTATTGATGATTACAAATGATTTAACATTTGGAAATGGATACTATATTACTTCTGGCCATGACCCTTCCCTTGACACTCTACCCTGATAGACTTTCAAAATAAGACTCCAGGGACCCTACAAAATAAAAGCCTCTAGATTATATATTTACTGCAGCATATGGCTCAACATTATGGCCCAAACGTAACCACTTTTTAGAAATTAGACTCTATGAGGCTTTTCAAAACGCACTCAATGGCAGATTTCAAAATAAAAGTCTCCCATTGCCACTTAATCTATTCAACTAATAACAGGAAAAAAGAGTGATTTAACAATCGGACATTTATTAAGTATCATTGCTGGGTCTTACCCTTTCCTCCACACATAACCCGGCTAGACTCTCAAAATAACTCTCCAGAGACCCTACAAAATAAAAGCCACTAGATTTTACTCAGATATTTATTGCAGCATATGGCTCATCATTATGGCCCAAACTCAACCACTTTTTAGAAACCGACTCTATGGGGACTTTTCAAAATACACCCTGTGGCAAATTTCAAAACTAAAGCCTCCCATTGCCACTTAATCTATTGACAGATCTATTGAAAGAGTGATTTGACAATTGGAAATTCATTAAGTGTCCTTGCTGGGTCTGACCCTTTCCTCAACCCACAACCCTGCAAGACTTTCAAAATAAGACCCCCTGGACCCTATAAAATAAAAGCCTATAGATTAAACTAATGTATTTATTGATGCAAATGGTTCAACATAATGACCCAAACTCCATCAGTTTGTTTCTATTAGACTCTAGCTACATTTTCAAAACACACCCTAGAGCAAATTTCAAAATAAAAGTCTCACATCTATTAGCATCTATTCACCTAATAACAGGGAAAACCAGTTATTTAACATTTGGAAATGGATTCTATATCATTCATACGCATGACCCTTCCCTTGACACACATCTGTGATAGACTTTCAAAATAAGACTACAGGGACTCTACAAATTAAAAGCCTCTTCCTTATACACACCAATTCACTGCAGCATATGGCTCATTTATGGCTCAGTTATGACCTAAACTCAACCAATTTGTTAAAGTTACACAATCAAGGCCTGTTGACAACACACCTGAGCGCACATTTAAAAAAAAACAAATCAATTTCCTATGTAACAAAACATAGGCTGATCTATTTAGAAGGAAAAAGAGATTCAACAATTGTAAATGGATTCCACATCTCCAGAGGCTGACCATTTGCTAAAGACACAGCCCTGCTAGACCGTCAAAATAAGACATTTCCTCTACAAAACAAAAGCTCATATAATATACTCAGCCATTTATTACATTATAGAGATATTTATAATTACCCCAGCCGTGACCAGGTCTGGCGACGCCAGTGTCCAGTAGTTGTGGAGACTGCATCCACCACTAGCTGTTGCTACATCAGTTTCCCACTCAGTGTGGCAACGCTAGTCGTCAACAGGTTTTGTGAAGCCAGTTCCCAGGGTTGAGGTGACACGAGTGTCCAGTAATGGTGATATATACCAATGTAAGGTGAACCCAACTAACCCCATGAAGCGTTTGTTGCCAGTTCAAATATTACGCACAAAGTGGCAGCCCCCGTCTAAATTTCTTCAGAAATTTTCTAGTTTAGATTTCTTGTGCACATAAAATATAATAGATACTGGGGTTTGACTGGGGTAGTTGGACGGCTCACAGCGTAAGTAAAATTTTCTGTATATGATCTTTGTAGGTTTGCGGTTGCGCCACTCTTTTTTTTCCTTCTTCTTTTGGGTCACACAAAGGACATTGTGACATTCCAATATTTAGTGTAGAGACAAAAAATCACCGCTACTCCAGTGACCTTTAAAACACTAGTAGTGCATGTGCATGAAAGAAACGCTAACTGAATCTATGGATGGTCTAGTGTGGTGTTGATTGAAAAACATAACCTGGTACACCTTTGTGTTGTGATTTTCAATGATTGACTAACCTGGTAATCACTGGGCCAGAATATGCTGACTGCCAGCTCCACCTGCTGCCACTGTTGACCCTGTGAGCCAGAAACATTCCATACAGCGCTGCCCAAGGGACCACTGTTGACCCGGATGTAGACCTGCAGAGTTCCAGGGCTATGGCCAACACGGCTGTACAGATAGTAGCTGAATTGTATGCAGTGGGTGTCATTCTCCTTTAAAGGGAGCAGGTACAGCCGTGCTTTCTGCCCCCGATGATGCTGTGAGGAATTGACCATCATGAAGGACCCTGATGGGAAAAACAAAAGTTATGCAACAGTTTTAACAATGGCATCTTCAGCTTTCAATAGTAATAAGAGCTATTAGCAGGATATGTGACCTTGCTGAGTGACCAGATTGTTACAAAAACAAATGTTGGACTACTAGGATAATGATGAGGGACAATGAGGGAGAGAAGCAACTCAATATTTTAATCACTTATACCTTTGACTCACTTTTACACTGTAGCTTTACTTAATTCTTTCCTCACATCAAACTTAGGAATCACTTTGGAAAAATTGACAAAAGTCAATATACATACAAGCACATATATATGTATGTATGTATATATATTTGTGTCTAGCACATAGACATATATAAATTTACATTTGTAGTAATAAATAAGCAATCAAAATCTCAGGTGAAGAGAAAATAAAGAGAAAATGAACACAGTTTAAACATGTTCAGATCTGGAGAGTTGACCAACTGGCTACAAATCACAGCTGTTGTAGTCTGTAAAATTAGGCATGACAAGCCCGACGTCGCACCTGCTTCAGTTCATGGCCTATAATTACAGTCTATTGATAGAAAAAAATGAAGGAAAGGCAAAAGGGAGATAAATCCTTGAATATTTTAAATCCCATTCATTTGTTCCCATGCAAAAAAAAAACAAACAAAACAATTTGAAATAACAGAATGATGCATTTGGAATCCAACTAATGGGGTAGGGAGCAGAAATAAGCTGAAAACCTTTTTACAGTAACATACCAGAGTGGATAAAAGAGAGGTTTTCTTACTTGGAAATCTAAGTATTTTACAGGACTAATTAAGTATTTAAGTATTAAGCAGTTTTGCTTAACTGATAATAAAAAAACCTAAAGATTGATGCAGTCAAGTTCATGCCGAATAAAAACAGCCCCCCAGTGCAGTCCCCGATTGCCAAGACAGCAAAAGCAGTCCCAGCTGCAGCCTTTGTGACCAGCAACATGTGATTGGTACTTGCAGTGTGTGTTAAATGAGTGTAAGTTGGAACGGAGTAGGAGCTTGGCTTTGTTCAGGGTCTCCTTCCCTGTCATGGCGAGCATGATACCAAGGGGGTGTGAGGAGGACAAAAGGTTTCCAACTGACAAAAAAATAATCAGCGACACACTAAATCCTATTCACCCACACTGGGTCACTCCCCTTCACTTCCCCATTGTAAACAGACGCTCGAGTGCGCACACACACGGGGCACACCATTTGTCACTGTTGATGGGGGGCATAAAGAAAAGGAGGAAGGAGGGGAACAAACTGGAAATGGGTCAAAATTCCAATTAATCTGAGACAATGGATGGATGGAGATGGAAAAAGATCCATTATCAAACTTTAACCGATATCTGTGTGGGTATTAGTGTGATAAAGGGCAACATAGCTCATTTCAAACTAATGCCAGACTGTGATTTTAATTCTAAAGTTAAACAGTAAAATTTCAGCTTTTTTTTTATCTTAATGGCTTAGAACAAGCTTGCTAGACCCCTGCGTTTATGGTTTCTTCACATTCAGTTCAATACAAAAATATTTCAATGTTGCAGTAACTCATGCACAGTTATTTTTTACTGAGATGTTGTAGGTAATGATAGCTATGAACTGCAATGACCTTCTTCACCAGTCTGTCTTGCAGGGGATCTTGAAAAGCCTCTTAATGAGGACATACAATTATTGTCTTAACAATGTTCTGAAGAGTATACCCACTGTTGTCTGGCTTATTAATCAACATCAGTCAAAACATGGCCGATATAGAAATGCTGTTTTTGTAGCAAACAGCTGAAAGAAACTTCTACTGGGGTCTGATTTTACTCCTCTACCCCTCGATTTCTAATCACTGAGCTGCTCCATGCTGTTGATATTCAGAGAAATACCTGCCTGCCGAGAATTCTTATGCATCAATTCCCTAAAATTGAATTTTAGTGGACAGATTGTTGAGATCTGGAGGCTTGTCACCTTTCTCCACCAGAGGGAGCCTGAGATCTTCCTCCTGAGGGCGTGAGCTGACTTCTGCACCCCTGTTTCCCATCTGCTCATCTGGAGGCTTTTTAAGGAGGAGGAGGCTGACACTTCCCTGCCAGAGTGTTTGCCAGTTATGGTACCAGCAAACCTGAGCCAGCTAACTCTGATCTGTTTTCCTGATTTTTTGAGAACCTCTCTGACTCTGTGTTCTTCTGCCTCTCAGATCCTGACATAGCTGGTGATCAGTCAACTCCTGGAGAAAACTCTCGCTGCCTGGAACCTGCCTGTCTGCCCTCCGCCTCAGCCTCCGTCTCCGCCTCTGCCCTCGGCCCTCAGCCTGCCGATCAGCCTCTGGACCCTCAAGGTTCCCCCCCCCTGCCGGTCAGAATACCCCCTGAGCAGGTATTAACCCAAACTACCGTTAAAAAGCAAGTTTCCTGGATCCACCCTAACCGATCTGTCCTCCTCTAGTTGCTTCCCTCCCGTGACCAGCCTGACGAACCAAGACGCCGTTCACATTTCTCTGAAAACATTGTCAATAAACCTTTTAACTTTTTCCCTGTCTCCTGAGTGTTTCTGCATGTGGGTTAGAAGATTAGACCCCAACATGACACAGATACATTAAAATGAATATGATTTTCTGTTTTATGGAGACAGTTTTTAGTCGATGTGCTACAGTCAGTGTCCGATGAATATAATCTCTGCTCAGTGATAGCATTTTCGTCAACACGATTCTATACATAATTATAAACTTTATTTCTTAAACTTAGAATGTCAAACATGCTGAATTCTGTATCCCCTTTCTATTTTCTCAAATATTGTCCTCATATGAAATCCACGCAACAATTCCAGAAAATAGCAATGATTAAGTGGGGAAACTTGGATCATTCTAAACACATTGTTTCTCAAACTAAGCTGTTCAGCAGTGAAACCTGGACAAAATCATTTTTTGCGGAAAAAAAATGTATTACTTGTTAATTTCGTGGAAGACATTTGCATATATCTTGCCTTGACACACAATATAGAATAGAATCTAATAGAAAATCCCTTTTCCCACCATGGGGAAATTGTGGTGTTACAGCAGTAAAACGTTTGTATTATTTGTCACACACATCCCAGTCAGAAAGATCCAAACCAACAGTTCAGCAAATGACAAGTTCAAAACCTCTGGAACAGCGTCCCAAAATTGAAGAAGACTTTTTTATTGTAAAAAAGAAAGATTTTGTTCTTTTAATGGTTGAAGTGATTGACTGTAATGCTCATACGACAGAAGGAAGGAAAACCGAAAAAATCAAAATAATAGTGAAAGCTGAAGAAAATTATCTTGAAGTTAGAGATTTAAACTGGGAAATGGTTGAAAGCATGATGGGAAAACCAATAGGACCATCAGAAACTGGCAGAGTGACGATAACTTAAAGATAAATTAGAAATTATGAGGACGAATTTCAATAAGTATTTATTATGTTGGGTTTGGAAAATATTTTTTATTTTATTTTTTCTGCGGGTGAGTCGTTTCCTGTTTCCTTGCTCAACTCCTTATCAGTTGGTGGCAGTAATGCACTTTTAACAAGTCTGCCAACCGCCATAAAACCTGAACTTGTTTTCATCCTCTTACTTACCAGTCCTGTCTCTCTGATTCCCTTTTAGTTTACCTCCTGCTGAAGGCTGGCTCCTGGTCCTCCCTCACTGGCACTTTCCACTCCTACCCAAAAAAGCTTCCTTCCAAGACCCTCTAAAATCGAGCTCACCTGCCTGTCCACCCTCTTATCACTTATCACCTTACCTGTTTTGCAGTGAAACACCGCATTGGATTTCCTGCTTACTCTGCAGGAATAATAAAAACCCTTCAAGTAAACTCTGTTCTCCTGTCGCACATAGTGCTGCTGCGCCAGAGTCTTGGTCCGAAATCATGTCACCCTCTGTGTAGCCTGGTAAAGAATTTTTATGGCCGCTTTAGTTTTAGCACTGGGGTAATAATATCTACTCAATGTCTGGAGAGCAGAAGCTGGCGACTGAGCTAGCATTTTACACCAGCTGTTGTTGTTGTAAATACATAGCTCACCACACAGAGTCTTACTGCCTAGTTCTTTATTCCTATCGGCTCGGTATAGCGTTAGCCCCTCCAGGCTAAAAGCATTGTCCGATATCTCTGGATGCAGCCATGACTCCGTCAGAATGATGGTTCAGCAGTTACTTATCTCCTTTCTTGAAGACAGTTCCAGTCGGAGATTATCAATCTTGTTATCCAACGAGCGGACGTTGGAGAGCAGGACTGATGGAAGCAGAGGTCTGTGGGGATTTCTCCTTAGTTTTGCAGTTAGCCCCCATCTGCAGCATTTCTCCGTCTCGCACATTTCTTCCTTCGGCAATTACGTTCCACTGTGGTTTTGTTTACATCCGTCCGTAGCACTCCGCAGCTTTTTAAATAGTCAAAATTATCTGGATTTAAAACATTTTGTGACCATAGCTCCAGCAGGCATTGGCGATTATAGATGCGGGTTTGATGTCTAGTCTGTATCGTATTAAGCGGCATAGTATTTGAAGTTATCGAAATCGTCGAGAGGAGCCGTTTTTGGCTGCTGCTTCGGAGCGCTGCCATGGCAACCAACCAAAAAAAATAAATAAGGTAAACATGCCCACTATTAAATTGAATGCCAGCACATGAATGACATGTGAGGTTTTGCAATATTTTTATATCAGGAAAAGAGCAGAGCACTAAAGTCTACCAGTCATCTGTGGTAATAAAAAATATTCTAGCTTAAAAACCAAATCGGCGCAAACAATAGTTTTACCTGTAAAAATGCAGCAGCACTGAAAAAGTAGCATAGATCATTTTCATTCAGCTTGGAGCCTAATGGGGGCAATATAGACTTCTGGGTGAACTAAAAAGTAATCTGTGAAACAATAGTAGCACAGCTGATCTTTTATATTTATTAATACACTATATTGCCAAAAGTATTTGCTCACCCATCCAAATTATTGGAATCAGGTGTTCCAATCACTTCCATGGCCACAGGTGTATAAATTCAAGCACCTAGGCATGCA